TAGTAGGAAACCTTGGACACGTTGACTCGTTGATTATGGCATGTCGTTACTCTAAACAGAGAATTTCATTGAGACACATAATTAAAGGTGACAAGACAGTTTCATTAATTACGACTCTGTAAACGTCGGCCAGAGATTTTCATAAATCAATTAAAAAATTAACAGTGTTTTGGCAGTTTCGTTAATCCAAAAACCAACAAACACTGATGAGATAGTTAGATTATAAGGATACAGATCGCACTACTACCAGAGAACATGTTTCACATACACACACATAAAAAATTTCTTCCAGTCTTATTGAGTCTTGTTTGTAAATGACAAAAACTTTTGTGTCAAAAATTTTACACCATAACCCACCCCCTCCCCGCCCCCTTAAACAGACAGACGTTTTTAAAATATTTGCCCATATGACGTAACTTCCTGAAATAACCTCGAAAACTTCAAAGAGAAATGTGATTTACGGGACGCCATTAATGTAATTTATTTCCTTTTTCTAGAGTAAAAAAATAATTGAATATACACATTTAACTACATCAAAATTATTTATATATCACCGGAAGCTTTTTAATTAAATATAAACATCATAGATTTTTCATCAACACACACACACACAAATATATATATATATATATATATATATATATAAATATATATATATATATATATATATATATATATATATATATATATATATATATATATATATATATATATATATATATATATATATATATATATATTTATATATATATATATATATATATATATATGTATATATATATATATATATAATTATATAAATATTATTTTTAAATATACTTGCATTATGTAGTTTTTGGTATTTGTTCCTAGATTCATGAATATTTCTAGTTTTTAGTTCGCTGTAACTTTAGTTTTACTTCCTTGCACGGTAGGCATAAAAATACACCTTACTATTATGTTTAAAATTGTAAAGATCAAATATATAGATGTGTGTGTGTGTGTGTGTATAAATATATAATTTTTTTTCTTTTTCTTTGCCATCGTCTCTAGTTCCACCGTCCCTTCTCCGAGAAAAGACCCCTGCCTGCCCCCACTCCCCCTTTTATGTCTATGTGAGCTAACATCACGCAACCTCTCTCCTTCAGCCATCAAACCAAAGTGAAGTTAATCACTGACGTGAACACTAAACCTCCCTAAACCCCTCATTTACCCGAGTGAAGGTCTTCTATTATCACATTACTGGCACAGATCCGGCTTAGCGCACAGCCTTAGGTCGCTGGCGATGACAAGTGTCTTTTTAATTTGATGCTTTTTCCCTGAATAAAAAAAGTTCCAAGCTGTTCTCCCACAGTTCCTTCTTCTGATCTTTATAATCAGTTACATTTATTTCGTCCAACACCATTTAGAGTTTTGGAATAAATATAAATAATGTCAGGCGGTGTTATATGACTTTAAATAATTATGTTATGTTATTAAGACCAATAATGTAATGTTATAAGGCTCTTTAAACGGACATGTATATGCGGTTGATTCTTTTTTGTTTTCGATTATAATGTTGGAAAGGATTTCCCCCAACACAATACCTTAGTCCATCCAAAAACAAACTACAAGGCAGTAGTTATTTACTTTTGGAGTTTTGCTCTCCCAGAAGGGTTGCTCCTAGTTATCGAGTTCTTCTACCCAGGGGGTTCGAACTCAGGACTTTTTGGTTTAGCAACCATGGGTTGATGTTCCTCCTAAATATCAATTATCAAAATATCTATTGATGTTTTGTCCATAGCCTCATAACCAAACTGTCACAACTCGTGGTATCAAATCTTTGTTGTAGAAACACGTCATTTCCTTTCTACGATTCTAAATTTAATTTCTCCTCATAGCGTAACGACGTGCATTGAATTACTTTCTCTCACGGCGCAGGCGCGTGTTGCTATTTATAGACTCAAATCTACGAACTTAAGTACTGGTGCAGTTCACTATAGGATGAGTATTGACGTGCTTATATCGACACGTGTAGTGGGTGGGTGAGTTTTGGCACGGGGCCCCTGATTTATCTTGTCTTCGACACAAAGCTACGAACTTAAGTACTGGTGCAGTTCACTATAGGATGAGTATTGACGTGCTTATATCGACACGTGTAGTGGGTGGGTGGGGGGGGGTGGAGTTTTGGCACGGGACCCCTGATTTTTCTGGTCTTCGACACAAATCTACGAACTTAAGTACTGGTGCAGTTCACTATAGGATGAGTATTGACGTGCTAATATCGACACGTGTAGGGGTGGGTGAGTTTTGGCATGGGACCCCTGATTTTTCTTGTCTTCGATCGACTTGGTCTTGTGTCGGCACCAGCCAAAGTACAGACAGCGCTGAGTACATTGTGATTGATCTCAACGGTGGCCTCAACTGCGTGGAATATTCAATAAAATCATGGCGTGCCTTCGAGGAATAATTAACAAGGCGCGGTGTGGGTGGGGCGGATTGTACCGAGTGATTGCACAAAGATTGTTGATTAAAGAAAGTAGATGTGTGCTGAGGCATTGAGGAATGAATGGGATAGTTTAGATCTTGACAAAAATGTGAGGTAATTTAACTATTTTGTGTCTTCAAATCCTTTACATTCTCCAAAGGTGAAGTAATGTTTAATAATTGCAGTTTTTCTTTAATTGAACCAATTCATTATACAGTTAGACAATGATGTAGCTAGTTAAATAAAAGCTGAGACATCGGAGACATCGATGATTTAACATTACAACAACACAAGTAATTTAGAAAAGGATATATATATATATATATATATATATATATATATATATATATATATATATATATATATATATATATATATATATATATATATATTTATATATATATATGTATGTATATATATATGGGAATATGTGTGAATGCGTGTCAGATTCATACCCTTCTAACCATCTATCAACCCCTCTTATTCTATATAATAATACCATATTTGTATTTTTTAAAAATAGCCAGCGTTAGTGTTTCCATAATCTCTCACTGAATGCCAAATTTCGCCACACTCTCTCCCCCCCCCCCTAGTTTAATACCATCTTCCACTCCTGTCTCCGATAGTTGCCAGTAACCCCCACCCTCCCCCACCCTCCCCCACCACCCTCCCCCAACCCATTCTTTTATTTCTAAAACAGCAAAGATCGATGTCCAGATCATCAAGAAATGACGTCTGTGTCAGCTTGACCTCATCACGTGACTGGATGCAACCCTCGCCACAATGGTGATCTAAATCACGTGATGACTAGTTAAGATTTAACACGTCAGCGAAGTGGTGTGGGTGTGTGTGTGTGTGTGTCGGGGGGAGGGGTGGGGTGATGGTACCGAAAATATCTGAGCCAAAAAAAAAGAGAGACGAGGTTAGAGGTCAAATATTTCTGAGGCAAGTGAAGAGCGAGGTCAAGATTGTTATACTGGGACAAGTACGGAATTGAAGAAGATAAACGACGTTAGGAGCCGATATAAGCACGTTAAGACAGACGGTCTTGCCAGAGAATCAGAATATATTCGTTATCTTACATAAGTTTTTATAGAGTTTCTGGCCAATTACTAGTCAACTAGTCATCAGTCAACTAGTCATCAGTCAACTAGTCATCAGTCAACTAGTCATCAGTCAAATAGTCATCAGTCAACTAGTCATCAGTCAACATAGTCATAAGTCAACTAGTCATAAGTCAACTAGTCATCAGTCAACTAGTCATCAGTCAACTAGTCATCAGTCAACATAGTCATAAGTCAACTAGTCATAAGTCAACTAGTCATCAGTCAACTAGTCATCAGTCAACTAGTCATCAGTCAACATAGTCATAAGTCAACTAGTCATAAGTCAACTAGTCATAAGTCAACTAGTCATCAGTCAACTAGTCATCAGTCAACTAGTCATCAGTCAACAAAGTCATAAGTCAACTAGTCATAAGTCAACTAGTCATAAGTCAACTAGTCATAAGTCAACTAGTCATAAGTCAACTAGCCATCAGTCAACTAGTCATCAGTCAACTAGTCATCAGTCAACTAGTCATCAGTCAACTAGTCATCACTAGTCAACCAGTCGAACTATTTCATGCGTATGTTGTCACTACAGAGAAAAAGAAAGCGAGAGAGAGGGGAGAGGGGGGGGGGAAAGAGAGAGAGAAAGAGAAGAGAGAGAGAGGGGGAGAGGGGGGGGGGAGAGAAAGAGAGATAGAGAGAAAGAGAAGAGAGAGAGAGAAGCAAACATCTGTTATACATTTAATTAATTAATTTATAATTGGCTAAACCGCTTTGCCAATTAGTTCTGGATTAGTAAGTGATACTGTAGGATTTATATTAACTCCAGATTTTCGTTAATGATTGCATAAGTTGTACATCGAAAAATAAGCAAAGTCGCCTCTGTACATAAAAAAACAAATGAGTGTAAATTGGCCACACATTACGCAAAACAGAAACAACATCGACCGACAAATATTAGATTGGAATCGTCAAGGAAAGATAAAGCCGGGTAGGTCGAAAACAGAAAAGCTCAGTTGACAGAGAGATGCAAAGACAGCTCAAATGTCATGGACTGAACTGAGTGGAATTACCCAATGTCGATACCTCTGGTGACGTGTGTTAGACAGGAGGCTTTGTTATATTTGTTTGGTTTTCCTGTTTTGGGAATACATGTATGTTTGGAGAATAAATATATGTTCTGTGAATAATTATGTGTTTTGGGAATACATGTATGTTTTTGGAATAAATATCTTTTGGGAATAAATTTTGTTTTGGAATAAATGTATGTTTTGGGAATACATGTATGTTTCGGGAATAAATGTATGTTTTGGGAATAATTGTTTTTGTGGAAATAGATGTATGTTTTAGGAATAAATGTGTTCTTTTTTGGGAACAAACGTATGTTATGTGAAAACAAGAATGTTTTGGGAATAAATGTATAATTTAAGAATTACATGTATGTTTTTGTAAAAGACATAACCATGTTTACCACGACATTTTAAATAGACATGTATTAGACTGACCTTCACCTTCTATCCAAACATCTGCCTCACGTTTGCTCCTCCCATTCAGCTCAAGACTCTCAACACGATCTCGACCGTCCGCCACCCTGTAGCCAGTGATCACCACAATGGCCGCCATGTAGGCCAGAAACACCCACCCAAGTCTGTAGAGTTTCCTGCGTCCCTTGGTTCTCCACGGGCAGCTAGTCCTGGAGATGTGGATCTCCGACTTGGTGCCGTCTTCGACTCGACACGACTCCTGCTGCCCTTGCATGGTGCTGGAAGATGGAGGGCGAGGAGGTTTGTCAGTGCATTGTCTGTTGGAAGAAGTTCCTTGCCAGGTGTGGCAGTGTGTGAAACGGTTTACCGAACGTCCGCTCATGTTGCTGGGTGTAGCATTTAGTTATGTCTGCCGAGATGCTTCTATCACTTTAGCATCTGAAATTAAAAGACATTAGAGATTAATAACAATGAAAATGTAAACGATGAAACCCTCCGAACAAAATACAAACTTGACCAATAGGTAACGGTGTGATCTAGTGGTAGAGCATAGGACATCTACATCACAAGTCTTGAGGTGGATCTCTGACGAAGGAGAGTTCACTCAGCTATAATAGGTACCTGGCATAAGTTGGGGAAATCCAAGTTAGCGGACATTGAACTAATTACTTCTCTTTAAAACCCGAAGTGAGACAACACGTGATGAACTTACCTGCCCGATGGACTCTCTGGTCTAAAAAAATACTTCACTTTTTACCGACCCATTACAGGCTGTAGAGAACTACAGTGTCTAGAGAACTACAGTGTCTAGACATTTTAGTACCGCAGTTCCTAGCACGCAAGGCAGGATCTACGGAGGCTTGTAACTAAGGTTTGTATCTAAGGTTTGTAACTGAGTTTTGTAACTGAGGTTTGTATATAAGGTTTGTAGCTAAGGTTTGTAGCTAAGCTTTGTAGCTAAGGTTTGTAACTGAGGTTTGTAGCTGAGGTTTGTGTGGTTTGTAGCTGAGGTTTGTAGCTGAGGTTTGTAACTGAGGTTTGTAGCTAAGGTTTGTAGCTAAGGTTTGTAGCTAAGGTTTGTAGCTAAGGTTTGTAGCTAAGGTTTGTAACTGAGGTTTGTAGCTAAGGTTTGTAGCTAAGGTTTGTAGCTAAGGTTTGTAGCTAAGGTTTGTAGCTAAGGTTTGTAACTGAGGTTTGTAGCTGAGGTTTGTGTGGTTTGTAGCTGAGGTTTGTAGCTGAGGTTTGTAACTGAGGTTTGTAGCTAAGGTTTGTAGCTAAGGTTTGTAGCTGAGGTTTGTAACTGAGTTTTGTAACTGAGGTTTGTAACTGAGGTTTGTAACTGAGGTTTGTATATAAGGTTTGTAGCTAAGGTTTGTAGCTAAGCTTTGTAGCTAAGGTTTGTAACTGAGGTTTGTAGCTGAGGTTTGTGTGGTTTGTAGCTGAGGTTTGTAGCTGAGGTTTGTAACTGAGGTTTGTAGCTAAGGTTTGTAGCTAAGGTTTGTAGCTAAGGTTTGTAGCTAAGGTTTGTAGCTAAGGTTTGTAACTGAGGTTTGTAGCTAAGGTTTGTAGCTAAGGTTTGTAGCTAAGGTTTGTAGCTAAGGTTTGTAGCTAAGGTTTGTAGCTAAGGTTTGTAACTGAGGTTTGTAGCTGAGGTTTGTGTGGTTTGTAGCTGAGGTTTGTAGCTGAGGTTTGTAACTGAGGTTTGTAGCTAAGGTTTGTAGCTAAGGTTTGTAGCTGAGGTTTGTAACTGAGTTTTGTAACTGAGGTTTGTAACTGAGGTTTGTAACTGAGGTTTGTAGCTAAGGTTTGCAACAAATACAATAAAAGGAAGTAATGTCTTGGATTAGATTCATCCAGTCTGTCTAAAAGCCGGAAGTGGGTCGGTTGTTTTATTGTCTCTAAGTCTGTAACTTTAGTCAATCCGCTGTTTCAACTGGCTGATGAATCATTGGGAGCTGGGTGGGGAGGGGAAGGAGGACGACTGGGTATCCAAAAATTCTTGTACAACTAAGAACAAATGTGTCTGTGAAACTAGCAGACAATTAAGGATATCTTTTTCTAACAAGTTTCGTTTGTTACCTAGTACATATCGATATTCTGTTCAGCTTTGTTTTGGTAAATTAGATTTATCACATTGCAGTTTTCAAGTTTAGACGTACCGGGACACATCAGTGTTATATCGACTTTAGGCGGTCTGGGACGGGACTAAGTGCAGCGACTAAAGTAGCACCGTAAAACAATTTTAATTTTGTCTGCTTCGCTAAATTATGTACGCCATGATCGTTATCCCTGCTATTATCACGTAGCCGCGACATAATGTTGTCACGTGATATTGTTTACACACTTGAAAAATACGAAGAATCTCATTAAATTTTAATAGTACTTGAGTGCGCATGACAGGAAATGTTTCTCCAAAGCCTGGTGGGCGTGTTGATGAGTGGTATTTATCCTTCTCTTATGGACACGTTTTGTCCTGTTTTACGACAAGGAAAACAAAACAAAAGGTTAAGTATATGTGTTCTAATTTTCTTTTAAATTCTACACTAATTAGCTGTAAAGAAAAGTAAGAGCGTCGTGTATGTGGCGGCTAAAAATAGACGCGGTGATTTGATCCGATTCCCTCCTCGTCTTTGTGTTTCAAGTTTACCCAAGAAGAGATGTTGAAAAAGCCGGTAAAGGTTCGCTAATCAACGAAACAAAACCAGCGTTTGTTTGGTTTCTACAAGGAAGGGTGGGTGGGCTTCCTGTGTTTGATACTCTAGAACGTTACTGAGGGTCGGGGGGAAAGGAGTGGGGGTGGGTAGAAAGAAGGGATACGATGTTTTTTTTTAACGCTCAAAGAGATTAGAACATTGGTTAACTTGATTTATAAGCTTTTACTTATGTCACAATGTCTGCTCGGAGTTTTGGTCAAATCATATATCTGAATTTTAACCTACTTCAAGAGTAATTTTTCCCAGATAAATGATTTCTGATGACAATACAAGAGTATTTAACTTTTAGTCAAAATATATATTAAATTAAGCATTACATTTGGTTTAAAGATTTTTAAAAAGTACAGTAAAGATTAATCTTTTGGCCATTGGGCAGCCGAAGTTAATTTTTCCTGCCCTCGGCATATACCTGGATGGTGTGGTCAGCTCTATGCCTAGCGACGTTTACTCTCTCCAACATAAGTCAGGTATCCATCAGAACTGGGTGGACTCAGTTACAGTCACAAGTCCAAGCTCGAAGCCTTTGGGCTATAAGCCAAAAGCTCTAACATTCGACCACGCCGCCCCACGGTTTAAAATCAACCATTATTCAATAACTAAAGGTGAGATAATGGAATAGGACCTAACGGTTGCTGGGTTAGCCAGACGATCTGCCAGACGACTGCAGTGAGTTGATGTTCGTGGATGGTTTTACGTCAGACAGGGGCAGATAATTGCGTAAAGTAAAGCTCGCAAAAATTAAACGCGTTGGATATAGATCTAGAATAAGTTGTTTTCAATAGCCAATCAAGGTTAGTATTTCATATGTGATACTACCAAAAATGTTACTCGTATGATCGGGTGTTCACAAATAACAGTAAGAATTGCAGCTAAAAATAAATATTTTTAGTTTTCTGCAAGTTTATTACATACATTTTAAAAGTATTACATTGCACATTTTAAACTTTCATTTTAATACTTGAAAAACAAAGTTTTTAAATTATACTCCATCTTTTATATGTTATATATATGTGCAATACATTAATACATAATGGGTATTTTCCATTTAGAGAAACCCGTTGACAAGCATTAGATAGTATTTTATGGAGTAAATGTCAAAAGGTTGAGAAACACTGGTCCTGATATAGCTGGATGACGTGGAGAGTCACTAGAACAAGGAAGATAATCCACACTACAGTAGGCAGGATAAGCTAAATCCAATTTCACAGAATGAAGACAGAATCCATCATGTAATACCACTAACTAGGGGAGATCATCGACAGCGTTGGTAGCCAGGAGTTATCTTTCTTGATGGCATTGTAAGGTGGACCCGGTTTTATCCCGTGTAAAAATAACTCACCTATTGGCAGAAAAAACAAACTAGCCCAATCAAGGTCTGACTGTATACAAGAAAATCTCTTCCAGACTTATCTATTTCTTTGTTGTTGAAAATCTTGTGGTTAGTGTTGGTTTGTGTATGCATGTGCGTGTATGCGTGTGTGTGTGTGTGTATTTAAGTGTGTACAGCTTAAATAAAAAAATATGCTGAACAGATTTTTTAGAATGATTAGAATTCACCTTACGACAGAGATCAACAAGAACGAAAAACTTTTAAGTATTCAAATTATTTTTAATTTTTTTTACGGTATAGTAAACTTGCTTCGTGGCTGGATGGTAGATCATACAACTGCTAACCCGAAAGTCTCGAGTTCAAATCCCTGGTTCGTGTCAGTACAGCGTCCCTGAATCGTACCTGACTCACGTACGGTAAGGGCGGCTGTATCCGTTCAAATGCCGAGGCCACAGAAATAGGTGAGCTCTACTTTACCTGGCCCAAGGACCGTCAAGTTCGGAAGGGTATTTGTTGTTAATAATGTTCTTATAGTTTTTAGTGTAGAATATTGCCAACGAAATATCTTATACTTTTGTATGAACTTTTCAAAAACGTTTTTAGGTGAAAGACACCTTTTTGTATTGCCGCCAGAAAAACAAAAAACAATTTTTCACGAGATTACACTTTCTTCCAATTAAAGATGAAAGCAAATATTCGATACCACATAAAAGAAGATTTTCTTTAAACAGATTTAACCGTTGCTCAAATTTCAATCAGATTTCATGCGGTAATCCACTGTTGAAACGTGACTTAAGCTGAGAAAGATGGCGTCTGTTATTTCAAGTAAATCAGACTGAACATTCATGTTAAGTTGTACAAACATTATACACAAACTATTAAGTTGTGCAAGCTTTAAACACAAACAATGCGTCATAGATATGACAGCGTTGACTTTCTAAAGAAATCGAAGCGAATACAAATATCAAGAAGTGATGAAGTTCTAGATGCAAGATTTAAGATGACCTGTTCCAGTGGTCAGGATGGGCATAAGTCACATGACGTTAAAATCGATGATACAGAAACAGTTGAACAGCGTCGAAATGTTTTTGTAAAGCCAATAGAACTACACGTGTCGAAAAGCATTTAGTAAAGAACTACAAAACAAAGTTTGTTGGCACTGCTGTTGGTGAGATGGCGTGTGATATTTGCACTGTTGTTGGTAAGATGTTGAGTGATGTTAAACATCCGCTAGGGCAGTCCTGAAATCTGTCTAATACCTCAATAAAAGAACGAATGATAATCTGACAGGTCATTGCCTATTCTATTGTTACTATCGCCTCTCAATAACAGATCGTTTGTCTGTCAATATTTTCGGTCAACTAAAACCTCGACATCTAGGTTTAGATAGAAGT